ACACACACACACACACACACACACACACACACACAGAGAGAGAGAGAGAGAGAGAGAGAGAGAGAGAGAGAGAGAGAGAGAGAGAGAGAGAGGCTGAATATTCTGGACATATCTGGACCATGCCAGATACACTCTGGATTTATCCCACAGTATTTACTAATTTTACTATCCATTTCTGATGGGGCTACAAGGAAAACGAAATCTTAATGTTGCCTTTCTCTATGGTAATGATATCAGCAAGGCCTGGAAACTTCAAAAGTTCAATTTGATTTAGGCCTTAGCATTCCTGCATCTCTGTATAGGGAACACTGGATATGCAAAAGATATGGCAGAGACTAATTCTGGAACCTAATTTTTTTTTTTTTTTTAATTCTGGAACCTGGAAAATGGCGTGATGAAATGGCATACACACAGGAGATAGCTCATACATGATCGTACATCCCTTTTTCAACATGCAGACACTCTGAGGTATATCCGACGCCAGCTCGTGCATGATCGTACATCCCTATTTCAACATGCAGACACTCTGAGGACATCCGATGCCAACTCTAACACCGTTCTTTTGTGATTGCAGGACCCTGTTAAAGAGCAAGTCATTACCTCTTTTCACATCATGCAATCAATTTGGGTGGAACTTCGCGCTGATGGTATGGATCAGTACGAGGTTATGAACACACAGTCCTTTTCTTTCCACATTTTCATCATCTTTCGTTCTTTTTCCCTTCAGCATACTGAAATAGTTACTAAACAGCCTAAGGGCATACTTACACTAGACTTTCTGGACTGAATGGGGACGTCATCTCGACCGGATACGCTCTCGGAAGTCCCAGTGCGAGCATGCTGTAATAGGTAAAGGGATGTCTCATCGGCAGAAGGATGTGCAGAGTACAAAGGAGTTGGAAGTACTAACTCACTCATGGACTGCTGAAGTCATGTTGGAGCTAAGCCGCAATCTGAACAGCACTCTGACCCAGCATTACAATTGGAAGCTCCTTAAAGTAACTGAGGTTATGCTTCTGACTATTTCCTTAGCTGTTGCATTTCTTGTATGGCTTGGTCTTGGAGAAGAGTGAGTACTCACCCAGCTGAAAACCAACCCTGCAAAATCAGAACTCTAATTGTATGAACACTTCACAATGTTCAAATTAGTTCACCCTAACTTTGGCACTGGGCAGGAGGTGGCTGATCAATTTGGAATTTTGACACTCCGAGCAGATGCATCTGAGGGTCAAATGCATGCAGCAGAATTGTTGCACAAGTGGCAGACCAATCATTCACACACACCTTGCATCACCACCAGCACCAGCACCACCAGATCCCCCATCTACGTCTTCTACTACATCGTCCCCCCGTCAACTGCCTCCTCTTCTTCCTCCTCCTCCTTTTCTTCTTCCTCCTCCTCCTCCTCACCCTCGCCTGCCTTCCCTTCATCATCATCCTCATCATTAACACATTGATGATCAGATTAGCTGTCACAGAGGCCTCATCGGCAGAGGCATTCATGGTCAGGTCGGCCGTCACTGTTACATGCTGTACAGGCCCCAACCTGTTTCCCTACAGGGAAACTTCCAGGCTCTTGCCTGGAAGCTTCCTTCTGACAGGGCCTACAGGCCCCAGCCTGTTTCCCTACAGGGAAACTTCCAGGCTCTTGCCTGGAAGCTTCCTTCTGACAG